GCTACAAGAATCATATAGGGCTACCTTTTGGTACATCCCTTATATTTTTTTTCTTTACAGGAGAATTTTGCATCCACTTAAATGAGTTAAGGCGTTCTTTCATAGTCTGCTGAGCATTTCCTGAAATTACTTTTTTGATAGAGAATATTTCACTAAAGTGTAATTTTTATAGTTTATTTAAGGGCCAGACCTAAAACGATCCCAATGAGTTAAAAACGAAAAACCTTTTATTATTAGGTAAGAAGGAGATCCGCGAGGTAACAGTCATCTTTACGGTGAACCCATGCCTACAAGCTCATCTGTACAAGATAGGATGTGCAGATAACAGCATATGTAGGGCATGCGGGGAAGATGACGAAACATTGGAACATTTTCTCTGCCAGATCCAAATTCTTAGGGAACGACTCCATACCAGACCTTAATCAGATCATGGTAAATGATTTAAAACAGTTAAGAAATTTCATAAAGGGAACCGAATTTCAAATATAAAAGAAAACAAGAGGCCTATACTGGCTTAAGTGTATGTCCAACAGGGCATGCGGCGAAGGGGTGAAACCCTCTTTTCAACCTAACCTATATCGAGCATCATAAAGGGTCCTAAAGTCTTTTAAACAAATTAAATTATGAATTAAAAATCGCAAAATTGCTTGATCCTGTATTTTTGATAAATCTATGTTGCAGATAGAACACAAATAGTTAAATTTTAATGAATTTCTTAAGGTGTTGCTAAGGTTCATAATCGTGCTTTTAAAAAATCAGGACTTCCTAAACAATCTTTCAAAACGATCCGAAACCTAAATTGTGAAATTTTAAGGATTTCAAGGTGTTATAAAGGACACAATTAAATCGTAGATTTTTACAGAATTTTTCTAGTTTTCCGAAGTGTGAATTTCTTGTTATATATTCTAGGATGTTCTATTTTCTCAATCCTGACTTTTTAATACCCTCCACCATACCTAGCATGGAGGGTATATTAAGTTCATCATTCCGTTTGTATCTCATCGAAATAATAATTTTAGACATAACAAAGTATATATATTCTTGATCAGCATAAAATTCTAAGACGATGTCCGTCCGTATGTACGTCGGTGTAATCACGCTAGGGTCAAAACGAATAAATGTAGGATGCTAAAATTTTGCGCAGATTAGTCTTTTGTCAGCAGGCAGGTCAAGTTCGAAGATGGACTATATCGGTGCACGGTCCATATAACGGTACCCCCCGATATTCGGTATCTTCGTATAGCCTCCATATTCGGTATTTTGATTATTTTTAGCGACATTTTCCCCGGAATTGTTTCAAATTTCGTATTTAGTGTTCGTAATGCAGGTCCAGTCCCCATTTATCAGTACGTCCCTACATTCGGTATTTTGTTGATTGTTTGAAATTTCGTATTTTATGTTCCTAGTACCTGCCTGCGACAAAAAAAAATTCTCTATGCAGGTCCAGGCCTTCGTATAGCCCCGTTTTTTTTTAAGTTTCGTATTTGAATATTGCAATGGAATATGACAAAAGTTGCCTATGCAGGTCCACGTCTTCGTATAGACCCAAACATAACGTCTATATTTGGTATTTTTACGATTTTAACAGAATTAGCAACGGATTTTCTTCATTTATTTATTTATTTTTTTTTTTTTGAAAATTTCCAAATTTGTTACAAATGGGGTGTTCAATGCTCGGCCCAGCCGAACTTACTGCTTTTTTACTTGTTAAATAAAATTGCATGTCTTTTTAACGTGACTTTTGGAGAAATGTTCGGGGCTTCCTAACGAGTATTCTATATATTTGTTTTTTTTTATACCCTACAACACTATGTGTTGGGGGTATTATAAGTTTGATTGGGCCGAAAATTATGTAACACCTCGAAATATTGGTTTCCCACATAGGAAAGTAGTCCGTCCGTCTGTCCGTCTGTCCATGTTAATTTGTAATCACTCTACAGGTCGTAATTATGGCCCGATCTTCACGAAATTTAGAATGTAGGTGGGGCTTGTACCAGAATAGAACCCTATTTCTTTTGGAGATGATCGCCAAATGTTTAGGGGTTGAAATGGACAAAATACTGGAAAAATTTCGGATTTTGCTGTAGCTATACAGGTCGCAATTATAGACCAATCGACGCGAAATGTCGCATGTAGCTAGAGTTTAGGGCGGGGAAGAAGCCTACTACTTTGGGTGGTCATCGGATAATATTAAGCGGGTAAAATAGACCATATCTTTTGTGTTGAAAAAAATCAAAATTTTTCATTAAACCGTGAATATTTTAAATCCCGGCGAAATCACAAAGCCATCACAAGGTTACTTCTGACCTTTACATTGATGTTATTATCCAACAAATCGGATAATTAGCAAAATATGTGCGATATATATGTCTATCAAAGAAGATATGCTTGAAAGATCTCTTATATGTGGAGAACGGCTGAACTGATTGGCAGGAAAGAAAAAACGTCTAAAAAAATCGCATAAAAATATCTCTCTAAAGATGAAAATATTGATTTTGTAAAATTTTCTCATATATTTTCAATTTTGTCATATTTTTGGCATATTTTCATTTTGAATTAAACATTTGGTAATATTTCTACAGCTAACAAAACTAAGTAGTTAGGATATGAGGATATCATATGCAGATCTCATTTATGGCCCGATCCTTACGAAATTTTGCATGGGGATAAGATGAGGGTCAGAATAGAAGCCTACTCTTTTTGGAGATGATCGCCATATATTTAGGGGTTGAAATGGACCAAAAAACTGCAAAATTGTCGCCCGATCCTCACGCACATTTAAATGGGGGTTACCGCACATTGCAAAAGCCAAGCAGTTTCGGATGGCCATCCAAAAATATTCAATGTGTGAAGGAGTTTGCAACTTTTATAGACAAAATACGAAAATGTCCATTCCAGTGACTTTTTGGAGAATTCACAAATACAGGAAAGACGCACTTCTGACTATTTCGTTAACGCTGATTTCGTTGAAGAATATAGTCAAATGTCTGTATCTCATATAGATGCGTTTCAGTAAAAAAACAATAATAAATGTTAATCTTTTGTCACTTCTGAGAGGTTATAGGTCTTTGGGAAATATTGGTTCCAGATCTAGGAAGACCATTTACGTGCAACATCTACCAATAAATTGGAAATGAGCAAATTAGTTTAAGTTGCTATTATTCGAAAATTAGAGAACGAAACCTAATGGTTTTCTTTTATTATTTGTTACAATATCTTGTGGAATTCTGTCGAGTATTTCGCCTATATAAACTGTATGGTTTTTTATAGTGTTGTAGGGTATTCAACGGTCGGCCCCGCTCGACTGTAGCCTTTGCTTACTTGTTTTTAAATAAATTTTACGGTTCGAAAAGCCTGATTTCTTCTAAGCGAGATTTGCAAGCTATTATTAAAAAAAGTTTGAAGATTCCTATAATTTCAAAATAGTCAATCGTGAACATTTTAATGAATATTGCTAGGCTTACATTTTAAAAGAGTTCTGTGCTTTATTATCAAACTTTTATATACCCTCCACAATTCTATGAAGGGTATATTAGCTTTGTCATTCCATTTGTAACTCCTCAAAACATTCATGATAGACCCTACAAAGTAAATATTTTCTGGATCAGTGTAGAATTCTAAGACGAATTAGCGATATCCGTCTTTCTGTCTGTATGTTGTAATCACGCTATCTTTCGAACAAATTGAGGTTGATGGCTAACATTTTGCACACATGTGTATGTTGCCAGTAGGCAGGTTAAGTTCGCAAATAAGTCATGTCGGTCCACGTTCTCGTATAACCTCTATTTAAAGGTACTTCCAGATATTCGGCATTTTGATGATTTTCTAAAAAAATTTCGTTCATAGGTCCACGTCTTCGTATATCCCCCATATAACGGTACCCCCGTTATTCGGTATTTTGACAATTTTAGCCAAAATTTCCAATTGAATTGTCTGAAAATCCACACAGGAAATTCCTTCTGAGTACGTTACCTCTTGGTAGAGAATTGTCTACATAGGTCCACATTTAACATATAACGATTTGTTGATGATTTTTGCGACATTATTGACCCATATTTTTTTAACTTAATTTTTCGAAATTTGTATGCCAAAAAATTTCGAATGCAGATCCACGTCTTCGTATAGCCCCCACATAACGGTACCTCCTTTTATTCGGTATTTTGATTAAACCACTAATTTTTAAACGACTTCAACACAATTATGCAATTGAGTAACATGCTCTCAATCCAAATTGAATTAGATTATTTAAACATCAACTCGGTACTGACATAGATATATAGATACACAAACTAAAATTGTTGGATATAGTTCTATTTCCAAAATTATTTTAATCTATTTATATACCGGCTCTGAAACTTTAACGTTTTAACTAAAATGTTTACCAAATTTGCTGGTAAAATAGGTCTATTTTTGATATTTTTCTCAAATAACGGTCTCTCCAAATTTAAAGTATTTCGATGGATTTTTTTAATTCCAAATATTGCCAACTCAAGTTCATGAACTTTTACTGAAAAAAAGTTCCATTTTAGGGCTCATATTTAATGTAGCTTCCTTGTAGTGATGACTCCTTATTATTAATAGTTTTAACATTTGCATCCACCATTTGGACCCAATTGGCCGTAATACGACTTTTTGCAGTTTTCGTTAGATGACTGTTCGGTCTACAGAAGAGTTTTAATATCGGTATCGACATTAGCTCCATATAGCGATTCCATCCGATTTTTAGAGGAAAACATTCTCCCAATCTGCTATCCACCTTTTCTATGTGCCATTCAAAAATATTCATCCCTGAATTTAAGTTATTCTATAGCTATTTACTTTGGTATAATTTTGGTTTCCCACGGGGCAGATTTTAGAATGCTCAATTTTTCGATTTATATAGAAATATTTCTTATTCCGATACTATCGAAATTGTTTCTTTAAATAACATTTGAAAATGTTATTAAAAATACACCACACTGCATCACATGCCACCACAATCACTTGTATTCGAAACTCACCACTTGAAAAGTGAGCGCCATATTGCTGTGTTTTTATTGTTGTTTTCCGGAGAGTAATCCTTGTTTCCTTTTTGCACAGATTTTTATTTACAAATATTTTATTTCAAAAACACTTCTTAACACTGACTTCATCACTTTTCTTTCACAAGTAATGGAATTTCATGTGAAATGAAACAGTCTGTTGTCCAATCGAATTTACGAATCACGTAAACCGTAAGTTTGGTTTTGTATATATTTTTTTGGAATCGCGTTCGGGTATAGAGTATTGCAATTGTCTAATGAATTTGAGAACTATTCGCTAGGTTTGTCGTTGTCTATCGAGTGTTGTTGTTAAAACTAATGTGCCATCAAACATCAAAGTACTCTGCCTTTTATACATTTTTCATATTCGCTTTTCATTTTCATTTCTTTCCTTTGTTGTTTGAAGCTGCGCTGGCGTTCCTTGGCAATGTTTTAGATTTGCCGATTTTATTGATGGCGTTGCAGCTGCTGCTGCAGCAACAACAGCAACAAGTAAAACAATACATGTTTGTTGTTGTTGTAATCGTTGCAGCTTTTTAACTTGGCGCCCAACAAGAATCATTGTAAACAAAGCCGGATCGTAGAACTGCACTCAGAGTAACCTCAACGGCAGCAGAAGCAACAGCAGCAGCAGCTTTAAACCAAATTGTACTTGATTGAGTTGCCAACCGATATGTTTGCTAAACATGACAATGTGCCACATATGGAGGATATGACAAAGGCAATTAGCTTTCCCATTAGTTATGGGGTCACTGGGGCATTTTCTGTGGCATTTATACCCACTGATGATTTTTTTTTGTAATTCGAACGGGTTTAGATTTGTGTTAACTGTTTTCATATTGAATATTACGTTTGTTCGGGGTCGTTGAGGATAATTTTAAATATGGTTTATGCACTAGAAAAAAGACTTAATGGTGTTAACAGGTAAATACTTTTCCGAAGGATGTGTTTCTGGCCAATATATAACCAAATGGATTTCCATCGCTCTGCAAAATCAATCCGTTGGAATGCGTTGTGTAAGGCTCTTAGAGAACAGTACCAAGACTCAAGGACGGATATAGACATACGTGAGCTGATCAGGGAAAAAAAACAGTACCCAAACAAACCGGTCGATAGTTTTATGTATCCATAATAACAGATCGACTACAATCCCCACTTTCAAGTAAAACGCTCATGGTGATTCGCTACTTGTAGACGTAGGGAATTCTTTAAACATGATATGCGACGGCGGCGTGGATTTTCGGTCATCAAGTCAGTAAAAATGGATGAAAGGGCCCCCGAACATGATGGAAGTAGAAGTTGAAGATCACTAGAGCTTAATATCTGAGCAAGTTTCAGCAATAAGTTTAGTATACTGGATTCCTTGCAGAATGTGGCCACAGGTACCAGCAATGCGGTTCGGGCTGCTGACACTTACACACCTAATTTGGATAGATGTAATTCTATAAACTAATGCACCGAGGAGTGCAGTAGTTTCCACAGGTCTCTAGATGTGGAATAAATATTACTCAGCTTTCGTCAACTAATTTTAATCCAATTGTACATAATGCTCTACCAACCCAGTCAGAGCCCCATAAGAACCCCAACGTGACAGATTTTTTCATGAAGACCCTAAAAAAGTATCTAGATCTTCTACACGAATGAAGTCTTTCTTGACTAATGTTAAAAATTTCAAAAAGAAGTTAGTATGTTTCATATTAGATAATCCTTCCAACATAAAGCCACATGAGAAGTAGTTTTGATTGGAGATACCACGTTAGGACTTCTTGATACGGGTGGTTCGCTTAGATGCATAGGGAGCAATGCTGCCCAAAAATTCCTGGCTCCCCTACAAGAAATTGAAATTCACTGCCAGAACTGCAGATGGTAAGGGACAGAAGGTGGTTGGCTTTGTTGACACAATGTTGGACCGAAATCTTTTTCTCTGCATTGATTTTTGGAAAATGTTTGATATCCTGCCATCGAGGTTTGTATGCAACAATCATAAATCATTTCATCAAGTCTCTGAGCTTTTAGAGCAAATACCCCTTTCCGAAATTCGAAACAGCGTCTTGATCACGTTTTATGTTTATTTCATTCTTACTCTAAGGAGGGGTTTGGACGAACAGACATCCTATGTCATAGCATCGATACAGTGAGAGCTAAACCGTTCTTTGCATTACTTCAAGCTCATGCCAATTAGGTTGTGCAAGGCCCTGCAGAACATGTCCCTCCTTATGGACAAACTGATGCCTCCGGACCTTAGGGCGAAAGCGTTCTTCTGGCTTTACGATCTTCTGATAATATCGGAATCTTTCAAATGCATCTCAGACGAGTTGCCCGTAAGATTCGTGAATCCGATCTATCGATCAATTGAGAAATGAGACGCTTTTGTGTTCTGGAAATGTGATATTTAGCACACATTGTGGGAAACGTAGTAATCCGTACCGACCCGGAAATAAACGAATTTCCTCCTCCTTATTTCATAAAGCAGATCTGCAGATTCTTAAGAATGATCGGTTGGTACCGCAAGTTTATTAAAAACTGTGCGTCTATTACCGCACCTATTTTCAATTTGTTGCAAAATAAGGAAGAAATTTGTAAGACCGAAGAAGCCCAACACGTTTTCCAAAGTCACATTTGAGTTCATTCCCTGTCCTGCACATTCCTATTTTTTCACCGCCATTCTACATACACTATGATGCTAGCAGGACAGGAATAGGAAGTGTATTGGTACAGATGAATGCAGAGGGTGAAGACATTCCTATCGCCATTATGTCGAGGAAAGTCTGTCTTCGCACCGCGGTATTAATAAAACATTGGCCAGAATTCGAAGGTATCACTACTGGCCTAACTTGGAAGTCTACGTGAGAACTATGTTAATAGTTGTGAAGTGTGTAAGTTCACCAAGCATATAATACGAATACGGTTCTAAGACCCCCATAGGTAAGACTTCGAAGAGTTTTAGGTTTTTTCAGAAGCTATATGTTGTTATCCTGAGGCCGTATCCAAAATCGAAATCAGGCCATATTAGTATATTAATCGTCCATGACAATTAATCGAAGTTTCCCCTTTTGAAGCCTGTAAAGAAATTCACAACCGCAGTAGTGGTGAGCTTTATAGAAAGCAATCCATTCCATACAATGGTGATCCCCAAATTATCGTTTCTGATAATGGGTCACAGTTCTGATCTAATGTTTTAACCAGTTGCTTTAGGGTTAAGGGGTACAACATGTTCATACTACTCAGAAAGCGTGAAGAGATCAGTGTTGTCCGCCATAAAACCGTAAGTACATCCCAATCAAAAAAAAAAAAAAAAAAAAATTGTGCTAGTTCTTATAAAAATAAACTGTGGCTAATTTCAATCAAACAAATATTCACTTTTTGTTATGATCGAAAATGATCATCACTAACGCCACCTAAAAATGAAGAATGTTGGCTATCATTTGAGCATCTATCATTGTTTTGGGATCTATACGTTCTTTATTGCTTATATTCTACACACGAAGTTACAAATTACCAAGTTTGGGATACGTTTTTGAAAAGGTTGAAATGAGCGTGAGGTGCCAGATATACTCGACCAGAGTATTCCATTTTCACACTACATGTAATACTAATAAAAATAGTGGGATGTGAAAAAATTTAAGAAAATCGAACAATTATTTCCAATGTTATGAGAACAATTGTTTATCAAAATTTTGACATTTCTTGGGGAAGGTATGAGAAGGACTGAGTCGATATATATCATAATTACATTGGATTTATGGTTGATAGAAACATCGAGATAAACGAAGTTTGATGAAAATCCCTTGTGTCGCATTTTATAAGAGTTATTAGTATTCAAAATGTTTACCACTTGCGGGGTAGGAGCCATAAGCTAAAGTAGGCCGATGAATTCCATATTCACATCAGATCTCTGGTTGAGCAAAATGTTAAGACATTATGAGAGACTTATTGAAAATTGTAACCCTTTGTAGACAACGTATCGGAAGGAGTGGACCGATATAACCCATCGCCACACCAGATTATTGTGTATTTAGAAATATTGGAATGTATGAAGTTTGAGGGACGAGTAATAGAATGGGTGATTCAATGAATTTTGTTTTCACACCAAACCATGTGTTGGTAAAAATGTTGGAAAGAGAGAATTTTGGAAAGAATCGGAAGTAGAATCGTCCGATATTGCCTATTATCGCACCTGTCCTGGCACCAATAAAAATATTAAGACTTGCACAGTTGGCTTTTAAATTTTTCATTCCGTTTGTAACATCCCTACATATTCGTCGCTGATCACAAAAACTATACATATTCATGATCAGCATAAAATTCTAAGTCGATTTTACGATGTCCATTTGACTGCCTTTCCGTCTGTTGAAATCACGATACAGTCCACATTTGCTTAGGTAGAGCTTTAAAATTTGGCACAATAGTTTGTATTGTGTCTGCTAACAGCACCTCTCGATACTCGCTATTCTCAGGTTTTTAGCCACATTATCCAATTCTTTGTCTTAAAATTGGCATTTGTAGTTCGTATTTGCTTCTCACTCCTTGGGAGATAATTGCTTTTTGGTCCACGTTTTTTATAGCGTTCATATAAAGGTACCTCCCGGTATTTTATATGGTATTTGTAGTTTATAATAAGTTCTGCAACCGGTGTCAGAACTTTGCCCATATTGGTCAATGGTTTCCATATAACATATACCCACCAATATTAAATATTTTGATGATACCAGCCACAATTTCCACGTTATAATAGATAACAATTCTTATAGTTTCGGTATGGGCCTTATATAACGGCTTACCCACTATATCGTTCTTAAAGAACTGTAGCTGCATTCTCCAACCGATCTCACTGGTTTTTGTAGTTAAAAGTGGAACACGTATTTTTTATTCTAGCTAAAAGGGTTTCAGATCTGAAGAAACTTTATCACTAATTGTAGTGCTGTAGGTTATGAACTGGTCGATCGACTATAGCCTTTGCATACTTGTTTTCTTTACCTAGAGGTGGTGTCCTGAAATGGATTTTGTCCAAAGAAACTTAGGGTCTAAAACCATTATTTCTATGTTTTAGATTAATTACTCGTTTTAGGATATATATAAAAGAGCGTGACTCGACTTCGAAGCCGGGGGTTAGACACACTTGTAAACTGGATTGTCTAAAAGTTGAAATAAGTTGAACGACTACGCAAAACGATGTTAAATGGCGATCTTTCATGTCTAAAATTGGCATCTAGCTTTGAACTCCAAGACCTACATCGTGATTTAGCTGGAAGATGCGAACATTTTTAAACAAACAAAAATGACCGACAAAGCGTTATGGGGCTCATTTTA